ATTATTTAATAAAACATATATATATATATATATATATATATATATATATATATATATATATATATATATATATAATAAGAGATAGATAGATAGATAGATAGATAGATAGATAGATAGATAATATTAATGGTTAATATATATATATATATATATATATATATATATATATATAAATTTCCAAGAGGATAGAATCCAGGTAGAACTCAATGTCCAGGACAGAGTAAGAATATAAGAAAAAGGCTTAAACACTAATATTTCATGGTTATAATTTATTACATTGGAATCGTAATTACGATCCAATTCATCAGACCTACAAATTCATCAAGAAATCGGGAAAAAAAAACTCCGGGAATAAAAAATAAGATTTAGTGAGAGTGTATGTATGAGAATGACGGACGGATGTGAGAAGTAAATGTTAGCTCTAGAGAGGGGTAACAGAGGAAAGAAGAACAGGAAGGCCTAAAAGTGAAGGTGGGATTAAAATTTAACAGAAAGAAGTTTTAAAGAGAGGTGTTAAATGACAGTTTAAATGAATGTGATACAGATAGATATGAATTATTTCCCGGTACATAATTCGCTCACCTAAATTAAATTAAAAACCGACACCGGAAACGGATGTAAATATTTGTGGTGACACTACGCACAATAAAAGACGATATAATCTAAACTTAAAATTCAAAAGATGAGTGAGAAAAGAAAAGAAAGATGGGGGAAGATAGGAGGGGAGCAACTAAAACCGAAGGGCATTTATAAAAAAGCTGCTGAGCAATCAAGAAAATTTGACAAAAGTAATATCACCTACAGGTTACAAATTTAATATAAACATATAAAAATTAACGAATATCTAATCTAGCTAGGACCTATTTCTATGCCCCAAAATACATACGTATATACACACATACACAACAACATATTTCTAACCGCTCGGCCACTTCCTAAGATCAATGATTAAAATGCCTTTGAACGAGTGAAGCGTGTAGGCCTTAACGAGACCAATACTTCTTTGAACCTCGTGGACTGGTATAGATAGATAGATAGATAGATAGATAGATAGATAGATAGATAGATAGATAGATAGATAGATATGTAGAGAGAGGGAAGAGAGAGTGTGTGAATATATATATTGTTTAAAATAATAAAAATATAAACATTATATATATATATATATATATATATATAGAGAGAGAGAGAGAGGGGGGGGAATGAGTTTGTGTGAGTACGTACGCAGGCACACACGTAATTTCTGGGCACGAAATGATTTTAAACACGCTTTGCGCGTGCGCAACAGGCAACTGGATGATTGCGACACAGAAAAGATGTCAGACTAGAGTCATATTAAGAAAGAAAGAAAGAAAGAAAGAAAGAAAGAAAGAAAAGAAAGAAAGAAAAGTGTAATAAAAGACAATAAACATAGATTGGGGTAAAAGAAGAAAAATAGGATGACAAAGCAGAAAGAAATCATAGAAAAAAAAGAGTAATACATTTAACAGCCTAAACGAGAGTATAAAGCAAAAGAAGAAAAATACGAGAGGCAGAAAGAATATGGAATCAGAAAGGAAGAAAAACAAATAATGTAAATATGAATGATAACATGATCACTAGTAAAAAAAGGGGGGCACGAACACTAATAATAATAATAAGAAGAAGAAGAAGAAGAAGAACAACAACAACAACAACATCAACAACAACAAGAATAAGAAGAATGAGAAGAAAAAGCTCGTGAAAAGGAAGACTAATTCAACAGGAACCTGGGAATAGAAGCTGCAAACCATTAAAAAAATAAGTGTTAATTGATTTGTAGGGATGCACCTGCCCACGTGGCTAATTCTTCCTGTCATGTGTTCAATGTTTCCTATCACGTGTTCACATGAGCTTTGCTCTAATAAATATGCAGGCGGACGTAAAAGAGGAAAAATGAGATGAACGTTGGTTGCACGATGAAAAAGGGATAATTGTAAATAGTGAAATACTGACAGGATATGAATAGATTGATTAAAACAGAGAGAGAGAGAGAGAGAGAGAGAGAATTCCTTCTCCCACACGTCTCAGATAGAAGTACATTTCCCACCTTTATCAAAATTCAGTTTTCGAGCCCGAGTACAGGAATTCGAATGATGAATTTCTCGATCGCCAGACCATCGACACTTGGCTGGTATAATCTTAAAATCCCAATTTTGGCACCTTAACGTATAGCAATAATGAACGAGCTAGTCAGGCAGACCATAACTACTGTGTAGTGATAGATAGATAGATAGATAGATAGATAGATAGATAGATAGATAATGAACAGACTGAGATAGATGTTCTTACTTCCCCCTCCCGAGCCCAATATACTGGTGATGAGTGGGGCTATGCTGATAGCATTGGTATTCATAGTTGGGATAAAAACGATCTTGAAAGAAATCTTCTATCAAGTATTACAAGAAATAAAACTGAAGATAAACCTTTCCAAGACAGAAACTATGGAATGAAAATTTGTGATTGTACTTACCTTGAATCCATCACAAAAATTCAGAATGTGGATTTGTTAAAAAAACTAAACACTTCAAACAACTCTGTGTATGGATCAGCTCGACTTGTGTTCTTAAATAACCTCGACAATTCGAGACTTTCATATGGCTGTCATTCATGGCGCGAAATTCATTCAAAAATATCTAAAGTGTCAGCTATATATAACCACTTCCTAAGATCAATGATTAAAATGCCTTCGAACGATTGAAACGTGTAGGTCTTAGTGAGACCAATACTTTTTTGAACCTCGTGGACTGGTACTGTAGAATCATAACCAAAGAACTGTACAAAATAACATAACGAGGACTTTCAACACTCGCAATAACTAAAATAGATAGCACATGTATCTCCGAGCGAGGATAATGAAATAATCAAGATGTTGGTGTTTCACAATACTTCAAACAAAAAGCTAGAAAGGAAATCCCCACAATTTCTGGAAAGAGCAAGTTAGTTACTGGACTTGAGAAACCTATTTTCCTGAAAAAATACTTTAATAGATTTTATAAATTTCAATCGACAACTGTAATATTAAATTGATCACTTAATATTACCATTTCTATTAAGACGATAACTACATGCATTTGCCATCATCGTCGTAGATTTTAAAGCATTCACTCGCAACAATATGAATTATCATTTCTTTTGTAAAACGAAGCTCGTAAATGGCTAAGGAATAACATTAATGTATCGGCCCATATCTCACTACTCCCGATTCTCATGAAAAACTGAGACATTAATATGATGGGAGACAAAATATCGGATGTAATATTGAGAAGTTTAGATTTTCTAAAGCATTAACACGAAACGGATGAGAAATCAGCAACCAAAATTTGAAATCGTTTCCTTGATTCTAGTTTGTATCTTTTTCCTTTGCCCATCTTACACTTTCTTGATTATTCAAATAAGCAGCAGCATTTTCAATATGTCTGCTTGAAGATTGTGGTTATAAGAGTGAAGTGCATTTTTACATTGAAAGTGTTCGTTTTCTATTTTTGCTTTAACGCTTAAAATATGTATAGAACGTCCCCAAATTATCAATAGCTTTTTCTTAATGAAATAAGATTGAACAATGTTAAAATAAAAGATCTTGAAATACTCTTCTTTCTTCTTCAAATATAAGCCTAACTCCTTACAAAATCATTTCTTTATCCAACGTTTTTATGGGGAATATATCTTCATATATAAGTCTACTATTTGTCCATGCTTCGAATATTGTTGGCACATTTGTTTTGGTGCTCCTGCTATATATTTAGAAATTCTTGATAAAATCCAAAGAGGAATCTTTAATGCCATCGGTCATGACCTGGCATCTCGGCTTCAGTCACTTTCCCACTGCCATAATGTAACTTCTCTGTACCTTTTCTACAAATACTTTCAAGGCAATAGTTCTTTGCTCTATGATATCTAGAATTTAAAAATTTAATCCCAGTACTAGATTGACAGATAGGTCTCATAATTTTAAACTTAAATTATCTAGATGTAACTGTAAGTTTATTGCTAACAGTTTCTTTTCTCGCATTTTTCCCCTGTGGAACTCTCTTCCGGTTTCTTGATTTCCATATATATATATATATATATATATATATATCGAATTATATATATAATCGAATTTCACTCCAGTTGATTACATTCACTTACGTGCTAATACACTTGGGAAAATAGCAGAATAGCAGGACAGACTGTGTCTTATAGCCTTGGGTAGCTTGAGTCTAAGAGAAAGTCAACTGTAAAGTCAAAGCTTCATTGGGGATCGCTGGGTAACAAGTCTCTTTATTCGGCCCTTCCAAGAATTGTGGTCGGTTATGCACAAGCTTTCACCAATATAATCAAATTATCTGCCTGTTTGGTTCTATGAACTGAGCTACTGGATCTTCATACGTCGACAAACAACAGGAGAGTCCTCCATATTGCACGGTCGGAACTTCTTCAAGGATACATCGCCCAGTGGATAAAAGCTTGACCTAAAAGAGTTGTGAGTTCAATACCTGGCCACAGCAGAAGTGAACAAAGAAAGATGTGTCACTAAAGGGAGATAACTGAAACAGTGATATCCAAAAAAGGCATGGCACGTGGAACAAAAACAATCTACTCCAGTGGACGAAATAAAGAGTTCGGTTCGGAATTCCAACGTATATCACCTGAAAAAGGCCGGAGCATACAAAGTTTGTTTGCATAAAACCATATATATTTATATCTCTAAAATCCTTGCTAGTAAGTGATTTGAGTGATTCATTTTCTACGGCTTATCAACCCTTACAGGTTATTTAAAGGCATAAAATATTTTTAGATTGTAAAAAATTTTTTTAGATAATAATGATTTAGGTGATACAAGTCTTACTAATTAACCCATAGCTGGTAGGGGAAGAGGTGGATTCATGCCTTTCCCAATTGTATTTGCGCGTAAGTGAATATAATGAACCCATCTGGAATTGGAACTGGCCGATTAATATTTCGGAGTCATTATTCATTACCCCACCCGGACATCCAAGCTTACAGCACCTGGTATTTCCAAACCGTCACCCATCAAGGTACTAACCAGGCTCGACGTTGTTTAACTTTAGTGATCCTACGGGAACCGGTGTCTCAACGTGATGTGACCTTAAGCAAGCAAGTGAAGATGAATTTTACTTCTTTATAACACCCATAAAAACTCGACATTGAGATCAAAAAATATTAAAATTTTAACTCTGATTTCTATCAGTGATAGTGTAGAATTGTTGCAGTCTGGCCTAAAAAGCCAAGATGATGTTTGCTGCAAGACATAACGGAATGCCTAAATATTTGTGATTGTTGTACGATAATGGGTATGTCCCCATGCATATAAATAGATAAGTAGATACTGTATGTTGGTCTACAGTCAAAGATTCGTCTCCAGCTGTACTGGTCAAACTCTCTGCCCCCGGGCTGAGAGGATCCCCAGACAAGGCTATATCGAAGTCTCGTCTCAAGGAAACAGTTACCCAACCCCGTTTTATACGGTGTCTACGGGGAGTTTTTGACCGAGCCTACGAACTCGGATACTCCACATTAAATTCGGCCTGACCACGTGGGGCAGTTGGCAGATATGCTGCAATTGGAGATTCATTGTGGAATTCACTTGACTCACTTCTAGCAGTTGACTTACTTCTTCTACCCGCCTTATATGTGTTGTTCTTGTCCTAAGTATTATCGTTCATTGCCAACCTTCGTTTGATTAGTCTATTCAGTAACCTTCCCTACGTTACAAGTGATTAAACCCAAAACAACAGTTATTTCATAACTTGATATTCTGGAGTAAAATTAATAAAATACAAAAATAAAAGAAATATCAAAAGTCGAGGTTATCCATGAAATAGTTAAGATTAATGTTTTATTTCGTTTAATACTCATCACCCAATATTCACTGGAAATGTCATGTGCCTTAAAAGTTAAATGAGTTTGCCTATTTTCTTTAGGGATGCTGCGTTTTGTGGCATATCAGACGCACTGTAAAATGAACACTTAAAACTGTTTGAACAATATACTGTATATATTCATTTTAAGTTGACATGGTCGTGAAATTAGGGAGGTTTTTTGATCTCTAGTCTGATCTCAAAATAGACAAACAGTGCGTTGGACAAAGGGTAACGATGAAAAAAAAACGCCTCTCTTGTACGCTGTAACACAAGATACCTAAATGCAATATTTACAAAAGCAAAATATTTTAGATTCAACGACAAAGAAAGAAAGAAAGAAAGAAAGAAAGAAAGAAAGAAAAGCGTTCAACATTTTTAATGCAAAGATTTCACCTATTTTCCCTTCTTGCTAGCTTCAGAAGATTTTCCACCCTCGAAACTCTCTCCCACAAGCGAGATGTGGGAAGCCTCTCACTGCTCCGTCGCTACTTCAAGTGCTCGGATGAACTACATTCTTTGGTTCCGTCAGTTCTAATCTTCTCGGCCAGGACCTGACATGCCACTCACATTGTAATGAACCACCCACATTCCCTGTGTATTTCATTGGTGAGAAGTAAGTTCCACTCGAACAGTTTCATCTCGCAAACCATTGCTCTGTGGAGCCGACTCCCAAGAGGATGTTTTCCCCGGTCATTACAATCTTAAACTTTTCAAGTCTAGGTTTAACCGTTACCTTCTCGTCCTATCTGCATAAACTGCCTCTTACTGTAACTCTCTACCTCGAGTGGTCCCCGGTCCTTGTATAGGGTAAACCTCACTGTAAAAAAAAAAAAAAAAAAAAAAAAAAAAAGACGATAAAATGAAGTAGCAACCAGATCACGTGACAAGACTCCTACGCGTTATTTCGACTAAACAATTTTAAAGGAGAATATATATATATATATATATAAATATATATATATAATGCATCCAAGGAAAAAATGGAAAAAAAATGGAAAAAAAAGAACCAGTAACCTCCGAACAGGGCGAAAGAAATCGTCCAGTACCTTAAATCTCTGGTACAAAGAAAAAAAACATGTGGTAAAACCTAGTTTGGTAGTACCTGACTCATTAGGATTTATTTATTACATATATATATATATATATATATATATATATATATATATATATATATATATATATATATATATATATATGTATATATATATATATATATATATATATATATATATATATATATATATGTATATATATATATATATATATATATATATATATATATATATATATATATATATATATATATATATATATTTTATTCTCAATATTTTCACATCACTTGATTTAATTTCCAACTATAATTTTCTTGCGAGACTCAAAGCTGCAGCTCCGATATATATCAGACACAAATACTCTGCCATGAGTACTTGGTAACTGTAGAAATTGGTAATGGTAATATTAGCCGTTCCCCTATAAGGAAACATTCGCCAGTACTGCTTTCAGTTGAAATTTGTAAAATCTTTCTCTTAAAACAATTTTTCAGAAAAATAGGTTTCTTAAATCTGTAATTGCTTTTTTTCAATAGTGATGGGGGGGGTCCTTCTTAATCTTTTGTGTGTAGTAATGTGGAATCGCAACATCTTATGTCATTATTTTCACGTACAGTTAAATGTGTTATATATTTCAGTTGTTGCTATTGTTAGAATAAAACAAAATACCCTGCCCTTCAGCGTTCAGTTTTCTCTCATCGTGAAACATTTGTTTGCAAGTTAAACTCGTTACTTGTTACTGCTATATCGAATTCAATAACCCACACCTGTAGCCTTGTAGCATACTAAGTTAAACTTTATAAAATCAATAACCATATATATATATTAGGAATAAAAGATAAAGTTAAAAATAAGCTAAAATGATAACATATTAAATAAATTATGGAGTCATTGCGAAAGTCGACTGAGGTTAAATATAATATAATAATATTATTAATTCAATAACATAAGAATTTCATGTGATCAAGTGGAAACAATATAAAGCCAGGCTATCATTTAACATGCATACTTCAAGAATGAAAATTAATTCCTACACCGGATGTGTATTTTTAATTAAATATTTATTCTTATAACAGCATGCAGCTATAAGCTCGCGTCTGTTATTCAACAGCTGGAGACCTATTCGTTGTAGGATTATCAGTTTTTCCCCTCTAGCACAAATTACACCTTTTACTAAATCTGTTATATGGTTTGGATTTACCAGGACTTTCCATGTTATGCTAGCAGCTTCTTTTCTTTTGTTAATAATATAGTTACTAATAGTAGATATAAAGAGCTACGTTGTATTTACGGTCGCTCAAACTTATATTACAGGTAGTATCGTCTTTTCCATTTACTCTCGGCAGCTCCTATGTAATATTTAGTCTCTCCACCACTAATCGCCTTAGCTTCATGAACAACATCCCTTACAAAACACTCCCTATTCAAGGGGCATTCCTCTTTCACTTAGCCGTTGCATCTACAATTTGAACATCTGTTTGTCATTTAGCTGATGCCGTTACCTTCAGCATCCTGACTCTAAAGTTTCATAATCAGCCCTTCCAGCACTCACTCCGTCCATTCGTCAGTTAGCTTTCTACCTCTCTTTGAAAGAACTATTGTGTAAAGTACCTGCAGCAAACAAAATCATCGTCCTGGATGACTTTAAAGCACGGGTAGGTAAAGACTCTGAAACCTGAAATGTACTCGAAAAGCATGGGGTTGGGAAGTTTAATAGTAACGGTCTTCTACTGCCTGCTGCAGGTGTGCGTGGAGCTTGATCTCTTCATTGCTAGTACTATGCTTCGACAAAAGGATAAATTTAAAACTACTTGGATGCATCCTGGATCGAAACAATGGCATTTAATAAACTATGTTCTTGTCAGGAGGTGGTATGTGCAGGATCTTAGACAGGTTCAGGTTATGAGCGTCGCAGATTGCTGGACAGACCACTGTCTAGTACGCGCCAAGGCCTACTTTGTAATAAAACCCAGAGTCAGAGCGAAAGGTATGATTCTTCTGAAACGCTTGAATGTTGGTCATATTAAGGATGAGAATGTACAGGAAGAACAAGTAGATTGTAAATCATTCAAAGTGTAAATACCTGAGATGATTCCCGGAATAAAGAGACCAGTGTTTGTGCAGAGTTCCTCGGTTATGTTGAAAAGAAACACATTGATTCGTTTGACGAAAATGATGAACAGATTAGTGCTCTCATTGAAGAAAAGAATAGAGTTTTAACATCAGTTTTATCTTAGAATAATTCTCTTCAACGCATAACACACGTTAAGGAGATTAAAAATGACATATAAGTAAAACTCAGATCAATGCAGGATAACTGGTGGAATACCAAGGCTGAAGAAATTCAGGCCGTCTCTAACACTAACAAAACCAATCTACTATACAGCCTGTTGCGTGAGGTCTATGTTCCTTTCAGCTAACCTATTGCGCCAACTAGATCTAAAGATGGTAAAACAATTGCTGCGGAACCCCAAGAGCATACTTAAACGTTGGCGTGACCACTCTGAGGAGCTTCTGAATCGAATTTCACAGGTAGATGATGAGTTCACCGAGCTCATAACATGCCAACCAACCAAGCATGCGATGACAAAGACTCCGTCTACTGAGGAAGTGTCTGGTGCAATTGCAAAATTGACCAGTGAGAAGTCATGGATCTTCTAAGCACAGACATTTTGAAATGTGGAAAGTTTCACCCGTATACTAACAGATCTCATGCAAAAGGTGTCGCAGGATGAGCTGGTCCTTCAACATTGGAAAGATGCCCTTATGGTTGTTCTGTACAAGGGGAAAGGTGAAAAAGCTTTGTATAGGAACTCCCGTGGCACAGCCCTTCTCTCGGTTGTTGTTAAGGTATTATGTAAAATCCTGTTAGACCGTTTTTTCATCAATATCGCAGATGAGGTATTGCTTGAGTCACAATGTGGTTTTCGCCATGGTCGAAGTGCAGTAGATATGATATTCTCTTCGAGGCAGAAGTGAATAGAGCAAAGAATAGATCTTTATTGGATCTTTGTTGAATTATCAAAGGCTTTTGATATGGTTAATCTAGCTGCTCTCTGGAAGATCTTAGGAAAGATTTGCTGTCCTGCTAAGTTGATAAATGTTTTGCGACACTTGACATGAAAACCTGAGTAAATGGTGGTGGTAAGCCTTCAAAACCAATACTTGTAGAGAAT